CATTTCAAAAAGTGGGGTGCCAACTTCATATACTCGGCCACGCCGGCGTTTGACTTGAATACACTTTGCACGACTGTTTTATACGCCATCTGTACCAATTTTGGAACTATTTTGCTAACACTGCCGGTAAAGTCTCCGTTTGGCTGCGTTCAGATTCCCCACCCAGGTGTATTCTATTACTAGAAGTGCTATAGTATATGTGACATATACTATAGTGTTTCTGGTAATAGAGTGAACCTGGATGAGGAATCTGAACGCACCCTTTGGTGGATGTCCATTGGTCTGTTCTTTTCAGTTGCACTGTTGAACTGATGCAATAAGTTAGAGTGAGAAAACATATACTTGTCTCAATTTAACTTATTGCACTAGTTCAGCAGTGCAGCTGAAAAGAACAGACCACATGCCACCGACAAGGTATTCGCGAGAAGTACACACTTTGCATAAAGGCATAATGCACCAAGCATAAGAAAATTTACCAATCAAGCGGGGAGCACACATTCTTGTATAAATACATAATGCATAACACATAAGAAAATTGACCAATCAGAGTCCTTCATTTGCATCGTGACAATAGAAATGAGCATTCTGATTAGTTAATTATCTTATGTGTTGTACATTATAGAGGCGCTTCAAACTGAAGGGTTATCGCACACAAATTGACATAACTGCATATGCATAGCATAAGATCGTATGGACCAATGAGCATTGAATATTAAGTCGCCATATTGATGATTGATACTTAATATTCGATGCTCATTGGTCCATACTATCTTATGCTATGCATATGCATCTATGTAATTTTGTGTGTGATGGCCTTAACTCCTAAATCGCGGTTGTGCCATTCTCTGGTCAAAGAGACAGAGGGAGGATCGCGCAAGTAAAATGAACAAACCTTTTGTTTTGAACTGACCACGTGCGCGTCGGCAGCAGTCGACATCGCGTGTGTCGCGAAAGAGAAAAAAAGTATTAACATCATCGTAAAAGTTGCGCGTAAAATATACCAAACGACTATAGGATGGCGAGCACGAGTAATGAAGTTGACCGTGTGCAAATTCGTTTCACCACGAAACAACAGCAGTAAGTTTTGTTACCTTTTTCTGCATACACATTCATCAAGGTTATAATCTTCTTTGCAATAATGAATAATAGTTGCCCTAGCTACTTTCCATGGCCAATATCTTGATATATATATATATATATATATATATATAAGGATGATACGTATAATATCCACACTATCAAGATTTTTGGTTCACATGTTGAATTTGTTGTAGTTTTTAATATAATCATAGTCTTCTTGAATAACTGTCTTACCTCCGCTGAATGCTGAGATTTTGACCAGCTTGCACTATGAGGTGCTATTTTATGCTTAAAATATTATAATATGATTTAATATAATTCTTTCCTTCTAGATATGCTGTGCCAGATTATCCTCTATCAGTGCACTTTACGATAAACAAAGAAGAATTAAATACTCTGGTTTATGAACTTCTAAAAGGTAAATGCATTAATAAAATTTTTAAATCTTGCCCTTCTCACCACTTGCTTTTTGTGTTATTAATATATGCAACATGCTGTCCTTTTTGTATGGATAAATAAAAACATTGTTAAAAAACATTTATCTTTTTCTTCTGTTACATAAAGTAATGTTTTTTATTTGCAGAATCAAATGCTGAGCAGAACAAAGTAAAGTTTGACTTTATAGTAGCCTCTCAGTTGCTGCGCACTTCTTTGGAGGAACATCTCATCGAAAGAGGAGTTTCCACTGAAGATGTAATAGAAGTGGAATATGTGGAGAAATATCCTCCACCTGAGCCCAAAGATTGTATCATACAAGATGACTGGATATCAGCTGTTGCTGTTTATGGAAAATGGTTAGTTTGCTTAACCATAAAAGTTAAAAGGATGGAGGATACTCCTCAAACTGTTATACAATTATGTATATTTGAGAAGAGCTTATTTTCGAAATCTGTCAAATCTATAGTTTTAGAAAACTTTTATTATAAATTGTATTTAAGTCTATATTGATTTTTATTATAAATTGTATTTAAGTCTATATTTTAAAAGTTGCATAAATATTTTATTATAAAAGTATCATAAGGGTGTTATACAATTTAAAAATAAGCTCATCAATTGCGACATTAATATTTTAAATTGTTTTATTCAGGATTTTAACTGGCTCTTATGACAATACTCTGCACATTTGGACGACAAGGGGCAAACATCGGTTAGTAATTCCTGGACACATATCTGCCATCAAAGCAGTGGCATGGCTCTCTCTGAATGACGACAGTGCTTCCTTCGTCAGGTAGCTTCAAGAATGATAAAGTCAATTTCGTTGAATGTAGCAATATATAGTTAATAATAATAATCAATTGAATGTATACCTCTATAGCGCGTCAGAGGATCAAACGGCCATGATATGGAATTGGAATATCGTAAAAAATTCCGTGGAATGCGTGTACATCTGCGAAGGACATGAGAGGAGTATTCTGGCGCTTGGTTTGAATCACGACCAAACACAAATGGCCACTGGCGGCTGGGACACGATGCTGAAAATATGGTCAACATGTAAGTAGACTAACTAATATCAAATTTGTAAGCTCTTTTTTTTCATAAGACATTTTTAATTAAAATTAAAATTTAATCACGAAATTTCCTCTCAAGCTACGCAGAATGAAACAGAAAATACGGAACCCGCGTCGAAAAGGATAAAAGCGAAACGGAGTAAAACGAGAGTATGTAGACTAAAGTCTGTAAATTTAAGAATACTTTGATTGAGCTTTATAAGTGTACATGTAAAGAATGATTAATTGATGTGCCTAAACGCGTTGGGCGCAGCTTCCGCAGCGTACCTTAGCAGGACACAAAGGTGCGATCAGCGGTCTCGTGTGGTCTGATAAGATGGAGATCATTACGGCGTCCTGGGACCACACTCTGAAGATTTGGGACTCCGAACTGGGCGGTATCAAGCACGAAATCCCCGGCAATGAGCCCTTTTTCGACGTAGACTATTCACCGTTGGCACGCGCTGTGATAGCGCCGTCGTCTGATAACCGTCTGAAGCTATACGATCCGAGGTCTTCAGGTACTTTGACGCATTAAATGCTTTTCCAAGATTTTCCGATATCATGAAATAAGAAACAAAGATTCTTACTTACATTTTCGCTCGAATAGCTTCTTCATTTCTTATTTTATGATTCTCAATCATTGAACTCTCTTTTGCATTGTTGAATATTCTTCAATTTTTCATCTAAATATAAAATTAGAGAACCGTTTTTAATTTCTTTAATTTTTGATTGTCTCAATCTCTGACGAGCACTTATTTCGAGTGTATTTGAATAATTGTGCATTTTTTCAGAGGGTGCGATCGTGAAAACTGTATTCAAGTCTCATACACAGTGGGTGCAATGCACACGCTGGTCGACCGTGGATGAGCATCTTTTCGTTTCAGGAGGGCATGATAGTCTTGTCAAGCTCTGGGACACCAGAAGGTTAGTTAATCACTTATTTATGTACAGATTCCTCCGGTTCAGCAGCGGAATATGGAAATTAACTGTCGCAATTTATCAAATAGCTTTAGTAATTTTTCTACTCTTTAAGGCTCTTAGATAATAACATTGTTTATCTCTTTTTTAAAGCGAGAAATCGCATGCTAAAAATGTTCACAAAATACGTTGAAATAAAAAGATAATATTCATAAAGCGACGCTTGTCATCAATCAAATAAGAATATTTTGTAAAAATATTTAACATGCGTCTTCTCGCTTCTGACGTCATTAAAATTCTCACGTCATAAAAAAAGAGAAATAGGTGAGTACTCAAGAGCCTTAACACAATCTTTGGAATTGTTATATTGATGCTGTATTAAGTGGAAAATTCTAATTGTATATGTGTATTATATTTACACTCCCTTGAGCCAATATACCATAAGCACAGAGTGTAAAGTTTAATTTGTACAACTGAAAGAGCAAAAAGATTACTAACGATACTAAAGATACTATTTGATGGATTGATGTTTCTTAGCAACTCATTTCAAATTGTGCGTTATGTACAAAGAAAATAAGAAAAAAAAAACTGTTCTCAAATTGCGTTCATGCATGAAATTTGAAAACTTCGTTACAGACTTACACAGTAAAAATTAACAGAATCTTAATATGCTTCTTATTCCCTCGTAGTCCCAAAGTGCCGCTGTACGATCTCACAGGTCACGTGGATAAAGTTCTCTGCTGCGACTGGTCGGATCCTAAATTGATAGTGTCTGGCGGCGCGGATAATACCTTAGGGATATTCAAGCAAACGGAAGATCGTAAATATCGCGATACGTTATGATCATTATGTAATGTGGAAGCGCGTAAACTCGCATAGAGTTTGTACGTGTTTCGTATCCGCGAGAGTATGTTTATTTATAATTATTAGATGTATAAAATTGTTTTATACATTTACTCTTTTAATAAAACATATAATAAAATTCCTTCTGTTTCTTATAGGATTTGTAATACTGTATCTTGAAAGTCAGTGTGTGTATGTGTGTGTTCTTTTCTTTCAACTTCGCGACTACAAGACTTTAACATTTTTAGATTTTGAGATGTTTTCAAACTCTAAGACTTTTTTGCAACAGCTTACTGAAGAGACTCGTTAGTACTCTTATTTCCAAGATATATAAAATAAGTCCACAATTTAGTCTTTATATGTGGAAGGAATAGAGAGAATTATTTGAGGATTCGTGCGCCTCGAGTGGAGAGTCATATAGAGGACGACCCTTTCTTCCTTCATCCGTCCTTCTTCCATTCTGATCCGAGGAGAACAGCGCCGGATGGGTGAAAAGTAAGTCGTTTCGCTCGCATAAATCCCCAAAACAGATCGTTTATTGATCAAAAATAAGGGACGATAATCGTGAATCCGGGGGGTTCGCGCTTCCCCGCTTCACCCGAAGTGTATCTTTACCAAACCACTTGTTTTTTTACTCGTAAGTAACTCTAAAAAGACCACCGATTCGAGTGCACGCACCTATTAGAGACGACACACAGGGTGTATGCGGTAGTACAGGAGCGGCGAAGAACGTGCACCCTCGCAGTAGCGCACGCGCGCGCGTGTGCGGTCTCTTTCTCTACGGTAACCGTGTACGTGTGCAGGTGTGTGTATTAACTGCAGTCTATGTGCTGTGTGTGTAAAATAAGCGAGCAATTCTTCGGGTACGCATCATCATCTTCTCTTCTTAAGTTGACGCACACATCTACGTATACACATGCGACACACACGTACACACGCACATAAACGCGCGCACGCACACTCCTTTTATCTCGCACGTACGCACGCACACTCTCGTCGGTCTTTCGCCCTCCTCGCATAATCATCATCTCGCCGCGCGGTATTCTTCATTTTTTTTGTTCTTTTTCCTCTTTTTCTTCTTTTTTTGTTTCTTTATTTGTTTGTCCGTTTGTTCTTCGAGGACCCTATCTAAATTCCGGCACATCTTCCTCATCATTATCATCATCCTCATCATCATTTTCCTCCTCATCGTCATCTCATCTCACACAAAGACTAGCGTTTTTAAACGATCCAAAATAAACTAAGGGCACTTTTTAGTTAGCGGCTTATGCCCCGTAGTCGCGCGCGTTTTTCATGCGTTCCTCTTACCCTCGAGTTGTTCTTTTTTTTTCGTTTTTCTCTCCTCTTATTTATTCATGAAAAATCTAATTCTGACTGTTTTTTTTTTCTTGTTAAACTTTGTTTTATTACAGCACCTATTCGACTTCCTAAGAGTCTCCCTAGATTTCTTAACTAACTATGACACACTTGCCTTAACGTCTAAGGATTTTTTTCTTCATCGTTACATGCTAAAAACGCCTTCTCCTCTCCACCTGTCTGTCCATCTGCCTTAAAAGTACTCCGAAATCCTACGAAAATTGATCGCACGGATTTTAAAGAGGGGAACGGACAATCAGCGTCCGCATCGACATCGTTTCCCCGTTTCTTCTTTCGCGCTGTTCTCTTTTCCCTGTTCCTTCGGAAAGACGACGCACAGCGTGAATACACGGGGACACGTGTCTTGTTTTTCATTTTCTATCTCGTTCTCTCTCTCACTCTCTCTCTCACTCTCTCTTTTTCTCTCTCTCGTTCCATCGTAAAGTTACAGGAGTTCCGCCTCGTATCGACACGCAGAACGAGGGGAGTACAAATGCAAAAAAGAAAACGAGGAGGATGGAGCGGAGATTTGTCCGGAGGAGGAGGGCGAGAGGGGAGGGAGAAGGAAGTAGTTGAGGAAGAAACCAACGTGTCGTCGAGTAGTTTACAGCTAAACATCGTCGCTTAACAAACGTCGTGTAAAACAATGACTTAAAAACTTGGCGAAACTAAGGACTGTACAAGTCGAAGTACAAGACGATCATCGAGTCTCCTCGGACCACCTTGCTCCTTATCGCTATCTCTCGCATGCGTACCATTGCACACACACACACACGCACACACTTATACACACACATACACACATTTTTCTATCTTTCGTACTCGCTTTCTTCCTCTTAAGCCGATCTCGACTAACATTATTTACTTAAAAACACCCTATAATTTTTTCCGCTCGTTCTTTCTCGTTCGTCACTTCGTCTCTTCTTTCTCCGTTTCTACAATCATCATCAGCCTATGAACTATGGTACGTCTAATCTAAAGAGTGCCTACGCTAGAGCTCTAAAGAAAGCTTATGGAAAGCAGCATTGCCAGCAGCGGGAACCGTTCCTCTCGCTCGGAACAGTTGCACCGTCGTTGTCGCCAGTGATACCAGGCTACGGAAGCTCGCAGGAGCTTCTTCGCAACGGGAGCTCCTTCTCCATAGGTGTATCCAAGGAGAGAGATAATAGGACACGCTGTTATCACGTCGCGCGATCAACATCGCGTTATCGATAACAGTCTTACGGGCGAAGGCCACCCGTTTACCAAAACGTGACTCGTGTCTTCCGAAAAGAGGAAGAAAGGAAGAACGCGACGATCTATCAAGCGACCTCGCGAGCTATCCGATGGATAATCCAAGCGCGACAATCTAAAGCGTTTCCCGATCTCTCCGTCGAATAGAGAGATCATTCTCGCGCCGAAAAACCCGTAGAGCTCTCTCCTCGGAACGATGATATCGAATTCCGATCTCGACCGGGAGAAGCTTCGCTGCGGTAGCTCTCGCCCCACGAGCTTCCGCCACCCCCGCGACCTATCGATGATTCATTTATTCTATTACGACCGTATAGAAACCCACACCCGGCCAGCCCACGCACCCGACCCGCGGTGCGCAGCAAGCAAATAGTTTCCTTACTATTTATATTATACAAGTAGCTCATATATATATATATGCTGTAGAATAATATATATATATTTATCAATTAATATGGATAGCCAGTCAGTCTTGACGGGTGCGAGGTGCATAGGCTGAACGGTGCCCCCACTGCCCGTGCCCCCCGTGTGCCCGCGACGCAGAAGAAAGGGGGTGGGTGGGTGATAGGGGACACGGGGGAGATGAGAGGCATATATTATCATTCGTGTATCCTAACTACTAAAAGTACTAAACTATTTACGAAGTCTACCTAAAACTTAGTCGCTCTCTTAACCGATAAAAGATCGCCATCCTCTTTTTCTTTTTTTTTTATCTCCTAATTCGAGCAAGTGTTCGCTCGCTCGCTTGCTCGTACTTAGCCTAGAGTTTTATCATCTTTCTCATAGTTCAACGCTACCTACGGCGAAAACGCTTCTTCGTCGCGCGAAAAACTGAAAAGAACCGTGTGTTGTCGCGTCTCCGCGCGAATCTGTACACAATAACTATTAACTCTCGCTTGATCACTCTTTCCCCTTCGCTCTCGCTCTCTCTCTCTCTCTCTCTCTCTCTCTCTCTCTCTCTCTCTCTCTCTCTCTCTCTCT